CCACAATTGAAATGGATCTTGGGGAATGTGGAAGGGGTGTGTGCAAGGGTGTGAGAGGTATTTCAAGGAGAGGAAAAAAGTGTGCTAAGACATTGGGGGTGAAAGAGCAAGATTGAAGGAAGAAAGAAAAATTCCTTTTGAGTCTAGGTTCAGGTGTGCAGAGTGCAGGGTGGGAGGTGTTGAGGTCCCTTAGGGTCAGACTCTGAAAGGCTCTTTGTGTCCCCTAGAAGAGTTGGGACTTTATCCCTCAGCCGTGAGACGCTACAGTAAGAAGCCTCAAGCAAGTGGCCGTGACACTGTTCCTATTTGCTTTGCTCACCATTATGTCCCAGGCACACAGGCTAAAGCCTGCACACAGCAGGGACTCAATATTAGTTGAATGAATGTCAACTATATGCCAGCCTTTGGTTAGGTGCTTACAGACACCCATTATTTAAACTCACAGCAACCTTGTGACCAGGTGGCTGTTTGTCTTATTCCCCGACACACCCCCGCGACCCCCCCCCCGCCCCCCGCCGCCAAAGCAGGGCTACACATTGTCACTCTGCAAGAAACTGAGAAGGGAACATAGCCAGAGAGCTGGACCCAGGATACAGGTGTGACCTATGTAGAGAGGCAAGGAAGGAAGGTTGAGTGGAAGGAAGCTTCTTATACTACAGTGCAGCTCTAACAGAGTTCCGCAAGGCTGTAGGGGGTCCTCAAGCTAAACTGGCCTGTCCCAGGAGTCCAGCATCTCCCAGGAATAGACCTCTTGCATTCAGTCATGGGATAGGAGCAGCCCCAGGAAAATGGCCTCTGCACCATGCTGGGGATGAGTATCAGAGGACGGATGTCAATTCTCAGCCTCTGGGACAGATCTGTGGGTCAGTTATGTTCTGCACAAGAACTGACAAGTACGTTTTCTTGGTCCCTATTGTATTATTATTCCCATCTGATACACAAGGACACCATGGCTCTGAAAGGTAAGTAACCTAACAAGCTCAACCGGTTGCTGAATGGTGGAGCCTGTCTAGACAAGAATGCTCACCTGGTAGCCTCCAAAGCTCCTGCCTTTTCTACCCTGTGCATTGCTGCCTCCCAGCTGCCATCAATGAGAATCTGCAGACAGGGAGTTCACTGGGGAGACTTTGTTAAGGACTTGGTGAGATGATTAAAAATGATGGCAAATTCTTTGACATTCCAGCTATGAGGTGGGGTCTTCACCTTTTACCTTTGAATTTGGGCCGAATTTAGTGATTTGTTAAACCAATGGAATATGGTAGAAATCACATATCCTGGAACTTCTGAAACCAGATGAAAAAGGCCTGGTAATTTCTTTCTGCCTGGGCATCTGGAAATTTTGGAGCCCTGAGCCACCATCAGGTCTAGCTATCCTGAGAACTCCATGCTGGAGAGAACACAGGAGAGACCGCAGGGAGATGGCCTGAGCCTGCAGGAAGAGAGATGCCCAGCCAGCCCCCTGTGGTACCCAGCCATTTGAGTCATGGGTCCTAGACATATGGAGCACAGTGGCCCCTGCCTTACCCTGCCTGAAATGCAAAATAAAGGATTGTTGCTGTTTTAATCCACTAAGGCTTAGCCTCATGTGTTACTCAGGTTTAGATAACTGGAACAGACCTAAACCTGGGGCATTGACAGTGACAATGGTGCCCAATCCCAGCTCTACCCAGCCGCAGCTACCAAAGGTCTTTGAGCAGCAGCCCCCAAGAACCAGGCCTGGGGGTGGGGTGGGGTCTGGAATGAGAAACTCTTTCAAGCCTTGGTGCCTTGGTGGTCCCCAGTCTTCATGTGCCCACAATCAGCAGCATTTGCCTACCCCCAGACCTGCCGTGGGAATGCTCTGTCATGTCCCCCCTCTGCTCCAGATCCCAGATATCTACCTTAGCTCTCCCTGTGCCCTAGTTTGCTTCGGGGACCATGCTAGCCCACTCACCCTTGCTCGTCCCCTTCCTAGGCAATGGTTGGGGTCCTCGGCAGATGGTGGGTGTCCTCTCCCTCATTAACTAGAAAAAAGATCTGGTAAACTTCCTTCCTATTTGGCTCCCAGCACTTCACGCTCAAATTGAACCCTTCCTCCCCTGTATCCCACTAATACTGGATTTTCTGTTTGCTAGCTCTATTCTTGAGAGCAAACTCTAACACCCACCGCAGCCCTGGGCCACCAATCCCAGTGCACTCTTCCTTCTCATTGTTCATTGAGGTTCCTTTTTGCCTCTTGTCTGGGCCACTAGAGGAGTAACAGACTACGCGGATGGAGAGATGGGCCCAGATTTGATAAATACATCTTGGTGTGGCAAGAGTCTCTGAACAAGGGTTTTCAACTCTGATACCCTCAGTCTGAGGCTCTCTCGCTCAGGCAACATGACTCCATTGTTTCAACTATGTCAGGCGGTTCGTAAGCTGCTTCCCCTTTAAAACTCTGGTCCAAACTGGACAAAAACCTCTTTCTTGGTTCCTCTTAGTACAGCTGACCAGACTAGCATTTAAAAAATGTACTAAACACTAACAGAGAACAAAAAGGACCTAATTACAGAAAATATAAACAGCTTTTTAAAAAACCCAAAAAACGCATGTTCCCCAAATAGCAGTCTGTGATCCCACAGCAATTTCTGTCATATCATAAAGAGCTGACACAGCTTCGTAGCGCCTGGCCTGGCTGTCTTTCTGTTCAGGTCTGTCTTTTTCTCCACCCCATGGCAGCTACAGATAGAGACTATGCCCAAAGCCCCCAAATTCTCATACAAGCTTCCCAAAGCCCCTTGGAACATCCTCCTTATTTCTGATCTATAGGATGTGTCACCTCCACTGCTAATTGGCATTAATAAAAATTTCCTCGTGCTATAGAATCATTTCACTCCACAGGTGAGACTCACCTCTACATATAGGGAGTGGTGACTCCAAGGCAGATACACAGACTAATAGCCCCTAATAATCACTCTCTAGAGGGTCAGGTGGTGTGGGAAGAGATTCCTGCTGCCACTGGTTAGATGAGGAGGCTGGCACCCTGGAAGGGAGACAATCAGGAATGTTCCCAGTGACCTCTCTATTCCTAAAATCAGAAAAACAGGAACTTGAGAAGAACGAGTGCCCTTGTGAATGACTATTTCATAGTCATTCACGACTCGGGAAGAGAAAAAACTTCACAAACTCTTAAGAAAGTTTCCAGGACAACAGACTCTGAGACAGGAGAAGCAAGAAGGGCTCTTCGGGCCCCACATTAAATTTAGAATATGGATATATGCAAAAGAGGTTAATCGTATCATCATTGTGGACTTTTGCGTGAAAAGTGTTAACGTGTTCAATGTCAACATTTAAAGTGCACCACGGTTTTAACAGGTGTGGTAGACAATCTCCAAACCTGACAGTCAACAACTCTTCCTTTCTCTGTAGGCTCCTACTGCTCCTGGAATCAAAGGTGGCGTTTCTTCTTCACCCCTTAAGTCCAGGCTGGTCTTGTGACCTGCCTCACCCAGGAGAATGGAATGGAATGGACAGTGTGCCAATTCCCGGTCTAGGCCCTCAGGGGCCTGGCAGCTCCTTCCTTCACCTTGCAATCCAACTCCCATGGTGGAAGCTCAGACTAGACCACTGGGTGATGAGAGGCCACCCAGAGCGAGACTCTGGAGAGTGAGAGGCCATCAGGGATGTCCCAGCCCATCTAAGCCCCCAGATGAATACAGGCATATGCCACGTGGAACAGGGACGACGAGCCATCCCTGCAGACTCTACACAGCAAATGAATGGCTGTGTAGTTTGTGAGGCTGTGATAGATAACCGAAACACCCTTTTTGTTATTTATTAATTTTTTTAGTATTCCAGGAGCCTAAAACAGAATGGAAGTGCCCTAGGTGTTCCTTACTTTGTGATAGGCTTGGCTCCAAGAGGTTTCTAAAGTTCCTGGCTTTCTTACTATTATTTGAAGGTGATCTATAAGATGTACCATCACACCCTCATAATTTGACATTTGTTCTTTCTTTTTTTTTTTTAAGTTTATTTTTGAGAGAGAGAGAGAGAGAGAGAGAGAGAACAAATGGGAGAGGGGTAGAGAGAGACAGAGGGAGAGAGAGAATCCCAAGCAGGCTCTATGCTGTCAGTGCAGAGTCCAACGCGGGGCTTGAACCCATGAACCATGAGATCATGACCTGAGCCAAAATCAAGAGTGGGACACTTAACTGACTGAGCCACCCAGGTGCCCCGATATTTGTTATTTCTAAACATTTGTGGAGTGCCCTTAACCTGAGCAATGCAGGATTCATAGGAAAAAATTTCTCTTTCCATCCTTCTGATCTCACCAGTCACCCCAAACTTCTACCATTTACAGAATTTCCTTATGACACAAGTTACAGTCCCCTGGACTAGAGCTTTCTTA